TTATATTATTCCATGACCTGTTTGCTTATTTATTTTTTTTTTTACAACTGTACTATATTCAAGCTGTTACTTACGGCACCAGCCTGGCATGATCCGCATCCTGGCGGTGCCACGTACCTGCTCTGCAGCCGCTGCCTTGAGCCAAACAGGAGCTGGCATGTGCTCCTGCTCTCCTTTGCTCTCCTGATTAAATTCCTCTGTGTGGTTTGTACAGCCGTGGTGGAGCTAATTCTGATCTCACCCAGGCTTTTTCACATCGCTGTAATTTTAATGCCATATTCCTGCATTGCAGAGGCTCCTGATTTAATGCAGCTTATAAACTGTGGCATTATTAATGGAAGATGGGACATGGAGATTTTGCAAAAGCAATGTTGTGTAATAAAATACTCTCTTTTCTGTTTGTTCTTCTACACAACCTCATTTCCCTAAATAAATATTTATGCATCCAACACACAATGGAATACGGCTATACAGTAGCCTTATAAATTTAAAAGCCTCTGAACACTGCGTTTTGTATTTTGTTATAGTGAATTGCAGCGAAACAATATATTCAACATATATATGGGTATGGAAGTAAGAGAGTGGAAAGCGTCTAGAAATCTTAAATACAAATATAACTACTTATGATGGCGTTTCTTATGGTTTAATCTTGACTCAGGATGAAATCAGAAATGTGGGCTGGAACGACTGCTGCTCCTGGCTGAGTCTGGGTTCCAGCTCCCCGCCCGGGAGATGGCCAGACCTACAGCCTGCCCCTGCTCAGCTCTGAGGCTCCAGTTTGCCCCCGTTTGAGGACACAACGGGTGACTGGGGTGAAGCAGGTCTGCCCTGCCCGCGGGTGAGGAGGAGAGGGGCTGGGGATGCTGGTTCCCCGCGGCGCGGCGGCAGCAGGAGTGGGCACGGACCCCGGCTCCTCCCGTCCTTACTTGATATCTTTGGAATTCGGATCTGTTCGCTGCTGCTGCCGTCACCCCCGTCGCTGAACGGCTTTATCTCTATGATGTAGTCCTCGTCGAAGGGCAGGGAGAGCTCCACCGAGGTTTTGTTCGTTTCTATTACGGACGTGCTGCTCTGCCTGTTCCACCTGTACAAAACCTGCAGCGAACGGGAGAGAGAAGAGGAGGCAGAAACGGCCCAGCAGTCCGTTGCCCTGAGGGCGTCCAGGTTGGCTGCTGCTGTTTTCCTGCCTCTGGTGCTCAGACATGGGGTCTGCTCACAGAAGGGCCACTCAGACCCCACAGGGGTTTTTCTGGGGTTACTCACACCAGCACAGTGGTGACAGTGCCCGGCCGGGGAGGTGACGCTGGGAGGAGGGTGATGCCGACGTGCAGCACCAAACGTGGCACCGGTACCTGGTGGAGCCCCTCGGTGAAATCTTTAGCTTCATCAAGCTAAAATAATTCCCACAGCTTATGTAAAGAGGTCAAAACTTCTTATTAGGTTTCTTCAGGAAACTGAGCTGGGGTATTCGATGCAGTGTCGCAACCAGCTTCTCGGAATAATTGACATTTTTGAATTACCGTCTAAGATCTGGGAGTTTGACTAATTTCAATCACAAATCGTGACATAAACTGGAAGATTTCCAGGAAAAAAAAGACAAAAGATGGGCAATGTTTTGCTGTGATTCAGGAAAGCAATCTGGCTGTGTTACCCCAGGAGTAAGTTAAAAGAGGGCTTTTTAGAAACCCGCTAGATGGAGTTTGCTTTTTCAGGGCGATGAGTCTCCCTCACCCTCTTTCAATCGACTTCTTAATTTGCATTTCAAACCTAAAATATGTATTGAAAAATTGGCCCAAACTGCTGAGGTTCATCTGAGGTTTTGACTAAAAAACCCTGAGGAATTACTTATGTTTGATAATCCGATACAGTGCACCAAAGATACTTAAAAGTTCGTGCAGAAATTCCGGAAAGCTGGCACAGGCGCGCAAGCCTGCCGCCACCGGCGTTTCAGATCGTGAACAAAATACGAAGCGTGTCCACGTTCTCCATCCTTTGAAGCTCTGGTGGAAAACGTTTGCACAACTCAACCCTCAAGGCAACGGCTGGCAACTGCGCACCGATGTCTTCTCTGGGCCAAATTAAACCCTTGTGTAAGATGATAGAACTGAATTCTTCCCAAGATTTCTTTCTAGTTAAATTACACCCTATTAAAACTGCCACTAATGAGGGTTCTCTTTCTTTTCCTTTTGGCTTTGCTTTCTGAAGAAAATGGGAGCTATTAAAAAAGCATTTTATTTATCTGCAATTAAGGAGTCAACTACAGCCTTTGGAAGGTTTCCACCAAATGCAGGAGAGCAGTCCTGCAGGTGGAAGCTTCAAGTGAAGGTTTGTGGGCTGAGACCTGCATGGGTGCTCGCTGGGGCGAGCATCGCCGGGGCCAGGGCGAGCAGCCAGCAGAACGTGCTCACTCTACACAGGTATGGCCTCTGCTTCTGGAGGAACGCTCCAGTTTTAACCCAGAAAACCATGCAAGTGCCATGAAAAGCACTTTGCCTGGTCTTTCTACAAACCCCAACTTGACACTGGATTCATGGAAATGTTCCCTCCAGAACAGAATCCAGCGATGGCTGAAGCTTAGCGAGGGGTCCCTGCAGGACCAGGGGTGAGGGAGGTGGTGCGGGGCTGTGGATGTCCCGCTGCCCACGCTCACAGAACACTCACTTTGTAGCCTCTCACTTCTGACTCGTTGTCCAGCGCTTTCACTTGGTCCCAGTTCAGTATGATCTTGGAGTCGGATGAATTCCAGATGATGTTCCCGGGGGGCTGACTCGGTGCTACACCAAAACATACACAACACCATATTACTAAGGAGCACTGTTTCCCAGTTGCATCCCTCCCAGCACCAACGTGGCCTCCACCGCCACAGCTGAGCGTGCCCGGAGTCCCATCGCTCTGGAAAGCTAATGAGCTGTTTCACTGCTCTGTGTCCTCAAGGTCGCAGGAGGTGTGACACAACACAGTGTGCTAAATGAAAAAAGGATTCAGTCAGTTGCTCAACATGCCTGAGACCAGAAGAAAAAAGCCCTCTTGAACGATGAGATAAATATTTAATTTTCCTGCACAGCTGTGATTTCGGTTTTGCATGCTCTGCTTACTTAACGCAGGGAAGAGTCTTACAAAAAAACCCAAGAGGCTGGTAAGTCTTCTGCACAAAACCCTGGCAAAGAGAAGTCTGACAGCTCCTTCAGACTCAAGAAAGCTTGAAAATGAGAGAGGGGACCATGGGCAGAAACCCTTCCAGGCAAGAGTCCCCCGTCTTCAGAAACACTCACGTGGCTTTTTGGTGGTGACGTTGACCGCGGCGCTGGAGGGGCCGGTGCCGGCCGTGTTGTACGCCCTGACTGCCAGGTGGTACAGCGCGTTGCCCCTCAGGTTGCTGACTTTTGTAGAAGTTTGATTGCCAACCGTTCTGATCCTTTTTGCGCTTTCTTCCTTCTCGTCGTGTCTCCAACACCTGACCTGAGAAGCAGAGCAGGTACATGTTTACCCCCAGCTATGGGCTGGCAGCACCCCGGTTGTTTCCAGCGCTAATCCTGGCACTTCTGCCCGAAGTGCAGGTGCCCCAGGGACAGACCCTGCACCCTGCTGCAATCGCTGCTTGTTCCTTGCTAGAAAGCAGCACCCTGCAGTGCTCCCTCTCCCAGGGACCTCAGACCAGGATGTGCTCGCCATGGAAGCACATCCACGCAGCTTTCCCCCAGCAAGCTCTGTTCCTCGTTTTCAGCCAGATTACATACAGAAAAATGTATAATTATTTACCATGTGAGAGAAATCTCTGTGTACTGAACAGACAAAAGGACGCGAAGACGCTGCAGGAACCCCCCTGCCCCAGAGCAGGCAGGAGCAGCACCACAGTGACTGCCCAGGACGTATCTCTGCATCTCCTCAACACTTAGCACTGAAAGGATGCGGTGGTGTGTTTCCATACCTCGTATCCCTGTATTCTTCCTTTGTGCTGGTTCTCCCCGGGGGGAGCCCAGGAAACTTCAACGTCTGAGGCAGAAAGACTTCTGGCCAAAACAGTGGTCGGGGCTCTCGTCGGCTCTGGAAAGAGGAGTTAAAAAAATAATTAAGAGTTTTCAATTTTACGTTCAATTGGTCCCAAACTTCAAGGGACTTCATTTTCTTCTTTGCTCGAGAAAAGAGGCATGCCACCAAAACAAACTTCCACATTTCAAACGACAGCCTGCCAGCCTGTGCCAGACGGCACCGCTCCTCTGCCTAAGAAATAATAAGATGTCATTACTAAACTCAGCCCAGGATACCATGTACTGTAATTAGGACAAGAGGGAACATTTTCTAATCAGTGGACATTAATGCACACTAAATCTCGGCGGAATTCTTTCCAGATTACATATTACTTTTCCATTAATATCAAAAGATTTCATTACGATTAATGTTATTTTAATGACTATCAAAAGAATTAATCACGGCTCGCCATTTATTATAAATCAGAGCAAGGATTAGGTATCAAAGGATATGTCAAGGTGGATACCAAACCCTTTTCGAGCCAGTCAACCCCACCACGTCCAGCAATGGGGAGGAGGGAGAGGTTAGAGGCGGTGGGGGGGGGCTCCTGGCTCTACCTTCCTCTGCCGAGTAGACGACCGTCACGGGGCTGAAGGACCCCTCGCCCTTGTTGTTGTACACCCCCACTTTAACTTCGTAGGGGGAGAAGGGCGGCAAGCTCTCGTTGCGGAAGACGTATCTGGCGGCGTCCGGGGAGGCCACGACGGTCTGCATCCAGCTGACGGTGCCGAAGGGGCGGAAGGCCACCACGTACCCGAAGCCACCTCCGTTCTGCAGCTCCTCGGGCACTGTCTGTGAGCAGAAAGAGCACTTTTGGCAACGGCACGCCTTTATCTCCCCGTCTGCATGCTGCCTACTGCTCTCGGCCCTTCTAAAGCTACTGTCCTAAAGAGAGCGTTAGGGAGAGGAGGTGGCTGGAATCCTACTTTGCATCTCACCCGAATTCATCCCGTCCCATCTGTGCTACAGCCTCGCTGCTCCATGCAGTCAGGGAGGAAAGCAGCATCTCTGGAAGACACTTCACCTACGACTTAATCCATCTTTGTAGGTACCCACCTTCCTTCAGTGACTCCAGTAACGATGTGAGTAATTTTGGGCACTCGAATGCCAAAGAGGCTGAGGCTTGGTGGGGTGAACCGAGGACACGGTTCCTGCTTTCCCAATACTCGTGCAGCTGCTCGCACATCTTTGGAGCCACACGTGAAGCCCTGAAGAAGATACCCTGGCAGTGTCCCAGCCAGCGCAGGGCTGGTGGTCCCTCGCTGGCTTGTTGCTACATAGTGACCCAGATTAGGGCAACCAACTGCCCACGTCCCACACGACGTGACCTGTTAGAGACCACGATGGCAGGGAGTGACTTGTCACAAATGTGATGGAGGAGGGCAGGTAAGTGCTGGGTAACAGCTAGAAGAAACAACCTGTCACCTCCAGGTCACTTGTGGACACACTGTCACTTCCTACTCTCAGGCTTGCAGCCCCTCCTAAAAGCTGCATCAAACCCCAAAGCTTCAATGTATTAAAATAATCCGTAATTATGGAACATTTTCCCACAGATGTCCGTAGTGCTTAAGCATGTGCAGGGGTTACTTCTGGTGACTGCTGCTTACTCTGTGTTGTAAGGCTCAAAAAATACACCAGACCATAAAGAAACGGCCTTAAAAGAGTAAACTGACTGTTCTATCAAAATACAAATTATATTTTGAGCGAATTACGACTCAAAGTCACGGCTGATGTTCTTGCCATGTGTGTTTTCGAAACATATTGCAGCATCTTTCGGAGACACGGGCGTAGCTAATTAGTCCAGCGGAGGAGGAAATGTAGCACATTGAGCTGTGTGGTAAGGACAAAAACCCATTTATAGTTTTTTAATAACCTTAAAAATATCTCTGGCGATTCATTCTGCCAGCTTGGTCAGAAATAGTGCTCAGTGGAAGTGTTAGTGTGTCTAGTGAAGTTCATTATTAGGAAAAATATGCCAGCTGCATCGCATCATAACATGAAAATATGAGCAGACAAATGACTAAAGTTCTAACCCCGACTGCCTTAAGGAATATTAAACCTTTTTCATCCCTGTGTCTCCTTTTGCTGGCTTTCATTAGCAGCAACGAACGCCGGCACGCAACGCCTTGTGTTAACTATTTGCTGCCATATACCCGGCGCAGGGATGAGGGTGGAGCTCACAGCCGGCCCCAGCAATTCCCAACCAGGTCAGGATGTGCCAAGCTTGGCCTCACAAACTGTTTTATCCCTCGGGTGGTTTCTGCCCATCCCGGTTTTGCCGTAGAGCTGAGCCGGTGCGGGAGCAGCGACGCGCAGCCCGTTCCCCGTGGTCCCTGCGCAGCACTTCTGTGCTGGCTGCTTTGCACGGGGGGCTGGGATGGGGAAGGGGTTTCGCTCAATTTTAATAGCTGGGCTATTTTTATCACACCATCTGGGATTTTTTACCGTAAACTGTTTGAAATCTACAGAAGCTTTGTTAGGGTCTGGGGTGAAAGGGTGCATCTAGATCAGGACCACATCAATTTTCCTCTCGGTTTGGACTCCACTTACCTCCCAAGTAATGACCAGCTCCGACTTGCTCCCTCCACCTCCACTGACGTTAGCTGGGGTCACTTCAGGAACTGGAAAAAAAGATGCAGAAGATGCACGTGGTGACTTTGAAACCAGAAAAGCTCATTGAAATGGAACAGACTTACGCACAACAGGACTCTGCTGGCCTTCCCCTGCCGGGTACCAGAAACGCTATTAGGCAATGACTAATTTGCCATGGCAAACAGCACATTAAAAGTCTGTCAATAATAGTATATTAAAAGTATGTCAGTTAACGTGTGTGTTCAGTCACTAATTGTTTAGTTTAAACATTTATCTTCCATAAAAAAGGCTTTTACTTATTTTTGTCTTTCATATTCTGTTCCATTACAAGCTAAAACAGAACAGAGGAGCCATCTGCCAGGGGTTTCCCATAAGGGAGGCACATATCTCTGCAGCCACCTACGCCTTGCCGTGACCCCTTTCTGCCAGACCAAGAGCCAGGGATGGCACCAAGGAGCATTAAAGCCCTCAAGGCTGGTAGCTTGTGCTGAAATCCCTGGACACAGCAAGTGAAGATCACCGTTCAGCTCTGCCTGCAGCAGCCCGAAGATGCAGTGTGGCTCCAGGAGGCAGTGGTGTCTTTGGGAGAGGGTTGCAGGAGGCAGACCTTCCGTAAGCCCGTGAAATGATCCAACCCATAGGGTGGCCCAGCATGTTTTTTCCAAGGTTGATGGCCCACAGGGATAAGATCCAAGTTACTCTGAGAACCACAGAAGTCCCCAGCACCAAGGGACTGCTGACTCTTCAGCTGTGAAGCTCAAACTCCTGCTCTCAAGGTGCTGTAGCCTGCGCTCCAGAGTTTCCATCACATTGATCATGGGAAACCAGGACTGCTCTCAGAGTTCATCTCTCTCATCTGTGGATGCTGGGCAGTATTTTCAAAAAAACCCTGTCCAAATACCGTTCCTTGGAAAATCATTGCGTTCTGCAGAAGAAGGGGATGAATTATTCTTTCCAGGAGTCATGGAGTGAGCAAAAGAGTCTATCAGGAGCTCCACAACTTCCCCTGCCTGTTCTGTGCATGCAAATAACGTGCCATGAGGGAGGAGAACAATGGGCGCAGAAGGTTCTCCTCAGCTTTCTCCAGTGCAACACATCTGTTAGCACTGACGAGCACTGATTCAACGAGGTTTAACTCAGTCGCCCACCACTACTTACGAGCTTCTTCGGTTCTCCTCTTCTCTGAAGGCCTGCTGGGTTCTCCAATCCCAATCATGTTGGCAGCCACTACTCGAAATTCATACTCGACCCACGGGTTCAGACCCACCACCGTCGCTGTGAACGTCCTGCCATCGATGATGTCTGGGACTAGGAGACAGCTACGGGTCAGCAGTGCAACGAAAACCACTAGAAGTATTAAAGACTGCTGAGAAAGGGTCATCGGAATCTGGTACCCTTAAAAGTGAGGGATTAACATAAATACAAAGCGAGTAAGGATTTATAAACCTTTTCTCATTTTTCTAACATTTTGCTAACTGTTAAGAAGCAAAAGAGGCGGCATTAAAACATTGTGCTTTTAGCACAGAAATTCCTGCTACTAGAGGGTTTCTCCTTAATTACCACTTTTTGAAAACAAAGGGTCAAGAAAACAGGTTCGAAGGGTTTTTATTTTTCTTGTTTTAAAACACACTGTTCCCTCTATTTAACGGTTACTGGAAGAAAACTAACCTCTGATGGAATGAGCAATTACATCAAGTGACTTTTCCCTCTGTCAGGAAAATAATTCTACTTAAAGATAGGCCAGATGACATGGTCTGTCCCTGAGGGATGTCTTTATAGACCACAATTACTGTTGTATATCTCCAGCGCGGCAGCAAAAGATAGGAATTAATCCCGTTTTCCCTTAAACATTCATGAGAAAAATAGTTGAGTAATAGCACTGACTGGACCCTAAATCTTGGGGTTGCCAAACTTGAAACCAGTTAATAAGAGCAGTGCTCTGCAGCCAGTGAAATTACTTTTCACGTCAGGGTGCAGAGCTGCTCCCTTGGGCCCATGCAGGGGTCCCGATGGATGGGTTTTCCATCAGCGAAGCTCTTTGGGGGCCAGGTGATGGACCTACCTGTGCTCACCGCTTGCCATCCCACCGAGAAGGGGGTCCTTGCTTGCACAACGTACATCGTAATAGGGCTGTGGTTGTCTGCTCCTGGCCTCCAGGACAGCTGAGCGGTGGTGTCGGTGATTTCGTCTATTGTCACAGCCTCTGGGGGACCTGGGGGACCTGTTGGAAGAATGGCAGGAGATGGGTGCTTGAGGCTTCGCGGTGACTCGCAGGAGGAGTGCTCTTGGCCTTCTTCCCTAACTCAGGACAGGTTCCTGCAGAGGAGTTCAGCGCAGCTCCAGCTCTGCTTCAGCAGCTTGCGTTGTCTGGATGAGAGTGGGGAGCCGAGGGAGACACAGACCCAGCCATCACCAGCAGCCCCCAGGTCCCTCCCCATGAGCAGCAGTGCTGGAGCCACCCGACAGAGCCAGGATTGGCTCTGCCAGCTCACGTCTGCGGCTTTGGAACTGGCCTAGGGACCAGTATGATTCTTGGATGCACCCAGGCTGGCGGAGAACGAAGGATCTGCCTGTAATCAGCATCGTGTCTGAGTGAAGACCAGTATTTTCTGCTTCAGTGCTGGGTTCCTTTTAACCAGCAAAGCACTGCGGGACACACCAGTTGGAGAGGGGACCTCTCTCCTGTATCGCATGGCCATTACTGCCCGTAGTGGTACCTGAGATGAAGCCTCTCCCCAAAGCAAACTCTCCTCTTGGAATTCACTCTTTGGACTAAAATTTTTCTCATACGACATTCAGAGAGCTGGACATGTTTGAATATCTAAAATACCCTGAAACCTTCCAATATCCTGTCTTTAAAATGAAAATCTCAGCAGGTCTAGCCAGATTTAATTTATCAGAAATTAAAACTTTAAATTGTTTTGCTGGGGGCAGTAGCCACGCAAGGCAGCTATGTTATTCCCAACGTTTCCGAATATACTTCTTCGCAGGGTGCAGGCTACAGTGGGGTGAGAGAGGGAAAAACTATCGGTTACCCATTTACCAGATATTTTTGGGCTGCTGACAGACACGGGTTTCTGTTCTGATGCCATGAAAAAATCCCATCTGGAACAAGTGGGCTGATCTGCTTGTACTGGTGCCAGGGGCTACTTCTGTGTGCTCTTGTTTGACATTCCCCGACATAAAGAATGGATTTTTATTCTAGTGTCTAATCTCCTATTGTTTTGACATAACTCCAATACTTAAAAAACTGCTAAAAAATATTCTGAAGGCTTTATTTATGCACCAGGTGTTCACCTCCCCCTCCAGTCTCACAGCCCAGGGATATTTCCCAATTTTTACGTAGTTGCTGAGATGGTACAGCACAACTCTCAACGCAGCCATGGGACCACTGGCCTGGGAAGAGATGTCCCCGTTGATGTTTTCAGGGAGCGACAAGATTAGTGTTTTTACCACCATCAAGGGTCACTTTCTTGTGAGAATTTCATGTTCCTCCTGTTTGTTTACAGAGGCAGCACTAAGGAAGTTACCCAACCCAGGCACCCATCAGCAGGCTGTTTTGAAATGGTTGTGCAAAAATATTCATCTGAAATCGTGCTGCAGGGAAAACTCGAGAGCCAGTGGACGAACGGCTGCGTTCTCACGCAGGGGGAACGTGGTGAAAAGCTGAACGCTATCACGAGGATAACAGAAATGCCCAGCTAGAGACAAGGGCACGTTTCTGAATGAAAGTTCAGGGCTAATCTTGCACATTTTACTCTGGCACAGCTTTGATAAAGAGGGAGTTTCTTACTTCTTTTTCATGGTCTCCTCCTTCCACTGGGCTGCCAGAGAACTTACGTTACATGGAACGTGCCAACTATGATTTTGCTGGGGTCTACGAGAACTGAGGGCAGCAGGTACAGAGCAGCACCAAACTTTGCTGTCCTTGAAGCTGATGAGCAGGAAAATATATATCATGTTTATTGTAAGGATCCAGACTTGAGTTAACTAATTGCATCTCTGTTAAAGTCATACTTGCAGATGACCTGTGTATGGTAATGAATAAATCCTTGAAATACCAGGGAAGTTACTACATCATGTTTATTGTGGAAAAGGAATGATATTGCTGGGCACGAATGCAGTGAATTAGCTGGACACTATTTCTGCTGCACAGTTCATGAAATAAATGAGCTCAGTTGGTGCAAGTTTTGCATTCAGGACACGAACATGTGCTAGTGTGTTTATCTGTGCTGTGTGTCTGTTGTACGAGTACACATATATATGAAAGCAGCTTTATATGCACTGTTTGAAAATGTACTGTGAACCCCAGCGTGTACTTAGAGCTTATTTCTTAGATTAATTACAAGATGCTGGGATCCCAGTGAACATCTCCGAGCCTGGGAATTGTCTTACCAGCGCCGGAAGTAGGGTGAAAAAAAAAAAGAAATTTTACAAGAACAACAACAGTAATAAAATTCAAATACCTCTTACAATCAGGTCTGCAGCAGCTGATAGCTTGTCCACACTTGTTTGCACCATGCAGACGTATTTCCCAGCATGCTTCAGCTGGATGCTTCTGATCATCAAATCACCAGCTGAGTCCTGCTGATAAAGTAGGGAAAAGTGGTTACAATTACTTTTTAATGAGCGCTAAACATCATTATCACATGAAGGACACTGTGACTAATGGATTTACTTTACTCTGGCTGATGAAAACATTAGTAATGCAAGTGGTGGCCTATTAAAATTATGTGAGTCTGCCTCGAAGATAAGAGCTGGGACCATTTCTGAAGCGATGGCTCCAACAAGGGGCAGGGGAGCCTGGTTTGGGGCCGTTGAGCAGTTTCCCCATTAAATGATGTCACAAAGCTTACGGAGGGCAGGTTCGCTCTCTGGATATCCCATTTAGAGCCCCTCTGGTGTTCAGACGCCCGAGTTGTGTTTACATCTATTTCACAAGTGAAAACCAGCCCAGATTATGAGACATCTGCAACAGTTTCAGGGCTTTGTATTATGGCCAGCATGTTGATTGCCCGGCGTTTTTGTGCTGAAGATCACGAGAACAGCACTCTCCGAGGAAATCTTGCATCACCTAACAGCCGTAATTTGTTTTCCAAACGCCAAGTGCATGTCTGATTAACTGTTGAATAGAACTAATTATGTTCCTCTATGTATAGGAAGCTGAAAACTCTCTGAATTTTTCTCCAGACACAAAACATTCATCACATTAGAAATCTCAGGGTAACCTTGTGATTGTGGCCTTCTGACTGAAGAATATTAATAAATTTGGAATTTGAGCTTTGCAGGACAATCAGGCAGAGTCACTGGGAAAAGCCGTCGCTGCTGCTGTGCGCCCTAGGCATCAATCTTCAAGTGCATCTTTTTAATGATTTTTTTTTTTTTTAGGGATAACAGCAAGGCTTGTGAATTCTATTTCCTTTTCCTTTCAGCATCAAATTTCACTCCTGACAAATGTAAACACGGACTACCAGTCTGCCTGAAACCCAGCGGAGCACGTGGCTCTGTAAAACCTCCCTTAGAGCAACATGCAAAACCCTTTCCAGTTTTCTGCCTCTGCTGAAAATTTGTTGCGTTTATTTCCTTCTTTTCCTTGCTACCTTCACTCAATAAAAGTGGAAAAAAATTCATAAGGAAGTTAAATCACAACTAAGTTAGAAACTAAACTCCCCGAGTCCTGCCTAATACGCAACAGGCTAAATGAGATGAAATCTCAACTGCGAAGGAAAATGTGATGGTTACAAAGGAAAGCAAACTTTTTACCCGTCTTCCAGACACAGCTTGTGAAATCACTGCTCTTCTAGTAAAAATTATCTGGAAATTACTTCTGTTCAGAAGAACAGCATGAGAAGCTGGGGAAGGTCTGACGGATGTGCTACCTCTTATGTGAACCCCCTCGTGTGACGGCGTCCTACAGAACTGACCCTCTCCGATTCCCAAAGTTCATGCCACAGCAACTTCAGGAAATCTGAAAGGACTAGGAAAGCTGAAACAACCTGCCCTTTACAGCTGAGGTAAAAGCAGAGAAAATCAAGTGGAGAGGGACCATCACGGACACCCTCACCCTGCTGCGGCTCTCCGGTCCTAAACCTTCTTGGAGAGGCAGTAAATGACCCAAACAGATTTTCAGCCCTACTAGAGGAGTAATTCCTACCTTTGCTACCTTTTCTTCCTCGTACCTGCCACTTGATCATGGTCTTGAACAACAGTGCTGACCAGGGCTGTATTTAATGGTCAGTCTAACCATTTCACACCCAACTTTTCTCGCTACCGGATTTCCACGAACATGACCTTTTCAACCTTCAAATAAACAATTCTTTGGACATTGCAAAAATTTTCCTTGTCAGTGGGTGCTGACTGGGTTTCCCATAAACAATCAACCAACCAACTCGAAGATACCAACGTGACATTGCCAGGAAACGCGCACAGATAACGCTGAAAGGAAACGTCATCTCTGACAGTCGGTGATGCCTGTAACACTTTGCAGGTTCTTTTGTGTAGAGAAAAAAATAGTAATTCTAAGCACGTGGTTACAAGAGAAGGACACAGACACAGGTGTACAAACATGTCAACAAACACTGCTTGAACAAATTGGAGGCTATCCTCTGTTTTCCCACTGTTTTCTGTATAAACACAAAGTTCCGCAATTGTTATATTTTACATTTCTTTTACTCTTACAGCCAGAGAAAAACTATGATAGATTTCTTCCTTTTGGGTAAAAGGAGAAGGCAGTTTTTCGTAATGAGAAAGCACATTATAGTGTAGGTCTTCTGACATACAGCCCACTGCAAGGTGAGCAGATTTAAGTCATGTCATGGAGCAGCTCTAACAATTCTACACCAACTAGAATGAAGCAGTATACTGGCAATGTTTATCTTCTCAGTTTACACGACACAAGGTAACATCTCCTGCTATTAATTAACTTAGTCAAATTAATTCCTTCTATTAGTAGCCTTTTTCTGTTATCTGCTTTTATTACCGTGAGGAGATTGCGTTAGCATTAATACTTACCCCTCCGACTCTTTCAAAGTGGTCCCCATCTTTTTCAAAGTCAATCAGGTGTCCGTTAAATGACCAGGTAAACATGATATCTAGCGAGTGATCGTGAGATACCTGACAAGGCAAGACAATGCTTTCTCCAACAGTGACATCCATGCTGAAAGGTGACACCATAACCCGGGTTGGATCTACAAACAACAAAGAAAACAAAACGGGGCAAAAAAGCATTAATCCTGTCCTGCTGAGAAATGGAGAGAGATGTAGAGCTGAAAAAGATCCTAAGCAGTCTACTGCAGCTGCAGCATTGCCATCAGAACTTGAAAAATTTGCAGTGTCCACTTAAGAAGATCCTTAATGCAACAAGTGAACTATTGCATCTTTGATTTAATCCTCCAATACCTTTCTCTTTTCATTAGATTGAAACACCATTAATAAATCCTTCAAAATCCTCTTCTAGCCACCATCCTGGTGAACGAGGAGAAAAGAAAAGGCTGGAAAAGATCTGAAAGGCTTGGTTAAAATTTTTGAAAAAGCTTGTAGATCAGAGGTTATTTTATTTGAACCTTCTTACTTCAAAGATTTGTTTCAGCTATACATCGCTCACCATGGTCATCAAAAATCTATTTTGTTGTTCCTAAATTAAACGCTGCCTTAAGAAAACTCTCTCAGTGTAAAATCTCCAAAACTGGAATGAAGAAAGGTATATTAAAAACATGAGTGACATCTGCTTGGACCTGGAAAGGGAAAGATTAGACTAACATTATTGTTATACGTGATGTTTATTGAAAACTCGGTGTTTGTTTAGAATAGTGGCCACGTTTTCTCTCTGATGGATGGTTTTACATTTTAAATCCAGGTATTTTTCTTTGTGTGAGGAGGGCCCACACAAAGAATAAATATAACTGATGAGTGATACCAACCAAACCTTTCACACTGTGGAAACGAAAACTCTGCCCCAATAAGCCAAGTCATAGAATCATAGTATCATAGAACAGTTTGGGTTGGAAGGGACCTCAAAGACCATCCAGTTCCAACCCCCCTGCCATGGGCAGGGACACCCTCCACTACACCAGGTTGCCCAAAGTCTCATCCAACCTGGCCTTGAACAATTCCAGGGATGGGGCATCTACAACTTCTCTGGGCAGCCTGTTCCACTGCCTCACCAGTAGTAACGTCCTACTAAAGTCCTGTAGTAACGTCAGACAGAGGGGTTGTGGGGTAAGATGTGGGGTAAACCATGGGGTTTTTGAATTCCCTCTGGGTGCACTAACTCCTCTGCCTGATGTGCAGCTGATTTGGGTCAGTTAGTAGGTCAGACTGACTCACGTTTTAGGACCTCTGTGGTCTTACATGAGATGTCACTGACCTGGTGAGCCAGAACTGAGCAAATATTTTGAGGAGGTGAAACAGAAGAAAGGTGAGAAAGGGCACTGTTCTAAACAACATTTGCAAAGGAAAGCCCCAAAACCTGTGGATATCTGTGATGTAGCAAGTTCTGTCTGTTAAATACCAGCAGCAGCACGTATCAGCTTCAGGACTTATCTCTTATTCACGGCTGGAGTTCACATGGATCCTTTGAGTCCCCATCCCTGGATGTGTTTAAGAATAGGGTGGATGAGCTACTTGAGGATATGGTTTAATGGGGATTAGGGATGGTTGGACTCGATGATCTCTAAGGTCTTTTCCAACCTAGAAATCTATGAATCTTTACCACTGGTTTAATTGTCTATTTTTCACTTTAGCCATGCAGTACGAGTGAAATGGTGGCACAGAAAGATGAGCCATGACACATTATGCAGACTTCAGCTCCTCATCTGTGCCCATGAATTCCCTCTGCTTCTGAAGTTAACATTTGTCTTTCATTTCTGTTGACAAAAATGCCGTAATTTTTTTCTACAGGGCCTCAGAGGAAATGAAAAGGAGAAAAAATATTGCTTAACAATGAGACCAAAAGTCTGAAAATCATACAGATAGATATTTTTGCTTATTCCAAAAGTCTGTTCTGCACAGCTGTCATGCTAAAATACTACGAGCATTATTCATTCTCTGGTACATGTCTTAACTACTTCTTCCAGAGACTATTGGCCAACTGCTTAATTCTCTGCTAAAATAATAAGGATACAGATACAAAGATATGTACTGGGCAGAACTACTTACTGAAATTCAGGGAATGCGAAGCTGTTCCTGGGTTTTCAAAGACCTTACCAAAAGCACGGGAGGTGGTGAAAAAGATTTCGTTGCTGACTTGAACAGGCTTCAGATCGAGTCCTCAGGGACTTGGCTGTATTACCTTGTATAAATTTAATTCATCTATGTTCTGGTTTCACTTCTAACAAAACAAGAGTACCTCTTAGCAGAACCACAGGAGATGTTATGAGGCTTAACTAATTAATAAAAGTAAAACATTTTAAATTTCTCAGGAGAAAAGCAGTATAAGTGCAAGTTACTAAAATAACGTTTAATTCTTGCCTAGAATTATGACATTGTTTTTGATTATAACTGATGTATCAGGATTTTACAGTCACTTGGGATTGCTACTACTGGGACTCAAGAAGACCTGGAGCACCCCAAGCTCAGGATGCTACAGAAACGCCCGCACCTGCAGCAGGGCTCAGGCACAGAATCTCTTACAGAAATGCCTTTCAGCATCAGGAGATCATCCTCTGCCCTGCTCAAAGCCCGTATGAAATATTTATGAAGGACACGACTCTGGGATGAAATGGGTGCCTCCCACAAAGCCCTGAGCTCTCCCACAGGAGTCCCGTACGATCCATGTAAGCTGTGGTCCTTAACGAGTGTCAGCACCGAGGTTTTGCCATAGTAACCCTCACCTCCACAGCACTTTCTGCAAGAGATGAGAAGTCCCCACCGTAAATCCGACTCCTCCTGCTGCAACACACGCAGTTTATAAACACATTAAGAATGAAACATGGGTGTTTGCTACAGACCTGCTGTATTCTACCTGCTGTAGACTCATCTATTTATTGTCCACTTGCAGCAAGAGAGGCAGCCCAGGGAGACAGACACTTCGGGAGAGTGAATCTGAACACTCTGTTGCTGTTCTGTCCCCCCCAAGTACAGGTTATTTTCCTTAGATGCCTTTGCTTAGTAAGGGCACTACTACCAAAGACAGTTAAAAAATAAATACATTGTGATTTTGGTGATATTTTGAGATGATATTCACCTTTGGAGCGCTCTAGTGCCTTTTGAGATAGTTTCAAAAATAAGGCTGAAAGATTCAGTTGCGGATAAGGGGTAAGAATTGGTATTAGTAGCATCACCCTTAGAGCTGCCTGCAGGTTTCTGAGCCCTCCACAGAGGGAAGCAGCCCCTGGCACTGCCCAGCTCTCCTGCAGAAAGGACAGACAAAAAGCAAGTGAAATTGTCCTGGATCACTTCTGAGAAAGTCTGTCTGGCATTACTGAGAAGTTTTTAGAGAAGGGAGCGAACAGTGTGTGCCAGCGAGAACGCTCTCAGGGGACAAAAAGCCCTCTGTCATCAGGCGGTAAAATAATCTGGTTTTTAGCCTCAAATAGGAAACAGGGAAAAAAAATAACTGCACGGGACATGCAGATATATTCCGTCGGTGTCCTGTGGGCACAGCAAACGTGGTGACAGCAGAGGTGAGCGTGTTTGCGTCCGCCTGGGCTTGGCTTACGGTGTGCCGGGACGCGCGCTCCGCACACGGCTCCTGCTTGTCTGTAGGTGTCACTGATGGCTCAGCGGAAGGGAAAAGCTCTCAGCCTTCCTTTTGTGCTGGCATTTCCAGGAGCACACTTCTCATGTGGCAGAAAAGGCACTTTTTGGTTCTACGTGCAGTTTTCCTTGCTCACGGAGTGGCTCAGCTTGCAGCTCGGCGCCGGAGCAGCGTGAAAGCTCCCGGGGATGGTCCTCAGCTGGAGCAGACCCCCATGGCCACAGCTCTGGACACTACCTAGCAGGGTACGCTGAGGCCATCCGAGCTTTTCTTACCTGTTTTTGTCCTGTGTTATATCCCTTAGTTTTATTGCTGCAGCGTGTCGCAGAGAATTTGGTGTATTGCTGACCGATGTAACGCATTTCGGTTGTACTACAAGAGATTTCTCACCGAGTTTTCTTGCTGGCTTTCAGGAGCTGAGCGGCACTTCCCATCTGGAGGAAGGCTGTAATT